AAGTAAAACTAAAAACATTTTTTAAAAAATGCTCAGGCAGGGGCGCCTGGGTGGCTCAGTGGGTTATAGCCTCTGCCTCCGGCTCAGGTCATGATCCCAGGGTCCTGGGATTGAGCTCTGCATCAGGCTCTCTGCTCAGCAGGGAGCCTGCTTCCTCCTCTCTCTCCGCCTGCCTCTCTTCCTACTCTGTCAAATAAATACAATCTTTAAAAAAATAAAAAATAAAAAATAAAAATGCTCAGGCATAATTATTTTTAAATTTTCATTCCCCTTTACTACAAAAGCCACAGAAAATGAGATAAAATGTAAAACAATAATATAGGAAGGAAACTTAAAATCACAAATTTAACAGATAAAACTTATACCTAAGTACTTTGTATATATTAAGATAGATATTATATTAAAAAAAAAAAAACAGAAAACAAGTGTTGGCAAGGATATGAAAAAACTGGAACACTCATTCACTGCTAGAGGAAATGTAAAATGGTGCAGCTGCAATGTAAAACAGTTTGGGGGTTCCTCAAAAAGTGACACAAAATTACCATTTACCCCACCAACTCTACTCCTAGGTTTATAGCCAAAAGAATTGAAAGATGTACACCCATATTCACAACAGCATTATTTGATATTATTCAAAATAGCCAAGATGAGCACCATCCATTGAGGCCACCAACAGATGAATGGATAAATAAAATGTGGTATACACATGCAATGGAACATTATTCAGCCTTAAAAAGGAATGAAACATGCCACAGTGTGGATAAATCCTGAAAACATGCTAAGTGAAATAGGCCAGAGACAAACTACAAACTATTCCACTTATAAGAGGTACCGGAATAAGCAAAATCATAGATTAAATTATTAGCCGCTGGTTATCTTTTAAGTTTTTTTTTCCCCTCAGTAATCTCTATGCACAGCATGGAGCTAGAACTCATGACCCCAAGATCAAGAGTCTCTTGCCCTACTGACCAAGCCAGGCAGGAGCCAAGAATAAGCAAACAAGACAAATAAGACAGGAAACTAGAGGTTACCAAGGGTGGGCGCTGGAGGGCAGATAGAGAGGAGAAAGTTATTGTTCAAGGGATACAGAGTTTTAGTTTGAGAAGATGAGAAAGGTCTAAATGTGCATAATGGTGGTGACACTCGCGTAACACTGACAATGTACTTAATGCTACTACATTACACACTTCAAGTGGTTTAATGCCTATGTATATTTTGCCACAATTTAAAAAAAAACAGCTTGTACCAGAATATATAAATATCTCAATCTCCAAACAAACATAAAAAATCAAATGCTATGAAAAAAAAAATCACACAAGAGGAAAGATACAGTCGAGCAAGCAACTAACAACTGGAAACGTGCAATTAGGTTCAACAACGAAGTGGCACTTAACAGCTGTTGGCAAAATGATTAAGCCAGTATTTACACAGTTTCAGGAAAAAATAAACTTCATATACCACCCAACAGAAATTTTATACTACTGTGATTGCTTCAATCCCTTTGGAAGGCAAGCTGGTAATAACACATTTGATCTCATTTTTAAAAATTCATGTCCTTTGACTCAAACTATGCAAGAAGAAACAAAGATGTGTGCAAAGACATTTGCAATCAGATTTTGTTTTATAATAGGGAAATGCATATGAATTGAATGGTTAAATGAATTCTGACATATTAACTGTGAAACAGTAGGAGGTCACTAAAAAAGCAAACAAGACAACACAGATGTAGAACTGTGTGTAAAAAAACAACGGGATTTTAAAAACCCTCATATCCATGCTACATAATTAAAATTGTATGAAAAGCTAACTTTGACAGTCTCAGGCACTCTACATGTTTTATATAATTTATTCCTTCTAACAACTTAATGAGATATATACTCTTGTCCTCATTTTATCAATGAGGAAACTAAGACCCAGTAAGTCACTGGGCCTTACACACATACTGTACATGGTGTGTGCAGGGAGAGGGGTGCCTCCAGAATCTGACCGTGACCAGTGTGACTCCAGGCTTTATGTGCATGGAAATCACATTTAAGAGAGGAATAAGAGATGTAATTTTCTTGGATAAAGTTTTCAATAAAAAGTTAGAAAGTAAATCATGGCACACAGGTCTCACTGAAGTGCTATACTGTTCATCTACTCAGCTGCACCACTTCTAAAACTTCGTAATGTTACATTTATTCAGACAAGCTGCCATTCACTTCCATTTTACAAAAAAGGATACTTTACAGTTGTGACAACATGAAAAAACCACCTGGAACTCAGCTCTGTTTTTGCCCTAAATGTCTTTTTCATGCATAACTGCAGAGCATAGCCAAGAAGGCTTGCTAAATAAATCTTGTATGTCTGTGGAAATATTTCCTGGAGGCACAGCTACTACCACCATTTTGGAACTGGTCCTCACAGTTCTAAGAGCAACATATTGAAAGATGAAGATGTCCTCATTCACAGCCTCAAACTCCTTTCTTGTCTCGTGCTGCCGGAAAGGAGAGTTTCTGTCTGCTCCCCAAAGGAAAGGTAAGATCTTTCCGTACCCCTTGGATAGACATTAAAAAGCCTACAAAGCCCAGGCTGGCTGGAAGCAAAGGTGAACCGTCATCGCAGCAGAAAGCAGAGAGACGAGGTAGAGGCCAAGGCCTTAGTATTTTAACAGGCAGAAATCCCCAAAATGCAATGACTGTCCTTCACAGAGGGGTTCTGGGAACAGTCTGGGCACTCAGATACACCACTATAAAACATTCCCAGTGCAGTTTGGGGTTAGAGACATTTGGCTTTCTGAAGACATGGCTGGCACCTGCCTTGTCTGCTGAAACATAGCATTCCTGGAGATAAGGACAATATGCAAAGGTACCTAAAAATAAACGTAGGGGAAACACAGATCTGTTCCAGTACCCAATAGGAGTGACCCAAAGACCATCGCCATATAAAGTCAATTTACCAATAGTTTTTATAAGAAAAGCAGAGGTGGCTGAAGGAAACCAGTTTCAAGTAATGTAGGCCCCTAAAAAAACAAAAGGCCCGTGGTAGCCTGACCACAGCCTCCAGAAACAGGTGGTTCCAAAAATCCAGTTCCCCTCCCCATTTGTAAATGCTGGCCCTTCTCTACAAGTGACTTATTTCTTTCCTTTTTTTTTTTTTAAGATTTTTATTTATTTATTTGAGAAAAGTGAGCTAGAGAGCATGAACGTGGGCAGGGAGAGGGAAAAGCAAACTCGTCTGCTGATCAGGGAGCCTGACATGGGGCTTGATCCCAGGACTGTGGGATCATGACCTGAGCCAAAGGCAAATGTTCAACCCACTGAGCCACCCAGGTGCCCCGTGACTTATTTTCTGAAGAGAAGCACGTTCACTGGTGCTCATGGAGCTATATACGGTTTTCTATATCACAGTCCATAGCTGCCACTTCACCATCCCCTTCCCCCAGACTGGAAGCCAGGGCCCCCCATGGTCACTACGACTGGATGTCCCAGCACGTGAATATGGCAGTCAGCACAGGAGCACCAGGTGCGCTGAGATGGTAGCTACTTGTACTCCTCATCCCCAGCTCATCTTCGTCCTCAAGGCTCAGGGGAACGGGCTACCTCAATTCCTTCAGGTAGGTCCCCAACTCCAGGGAGAATGTCCACTCACCACACATGCACGGAGGCCAGAAGGACAGGCCCCTCCACCCTGCAGTCCAGCCAGGTAATGGTATAGCAAAGCACCATGAACTATCGGAGGGGCTCTGCGGCCCTCATACGGTGCTGCCCACCAGCTGAAAGCCACTAGAAAGCATTCCTGGTTGAACTCTGACTCAGTAAGTCGGCTCACAAGGGGCAGCAACAAGACTGATCTACTAGTCTGTCTAGTCTGTCAAGAAGGTATGCTGCTCCAATCTCCCCTCCTTCACGCCACACCTCAGCTATCACAAGCATCTACAAAACTCATCCCATGTCACATACTGATTTAAACATCTGAGGGGGCGCCTGGGTGGCTCAGTTGGTTGAGCATCTGTCTTCGGCTCCGGTCATGATCTCAGGGTCCTGGGATCGAGCCCCACATGGGCTCCCTGCTCAGCAGTGAGCCTGCTTCTCCCTCTCCTGCTCCCCCTGCTAGTATTCTCTCTTTCTCTGTCAAATAAATAAAAAACCAGAACAACAACAACAAAAATAGATCTACTCTTAAAAAAATAAATTTAAAAAAAAATCTGCATCTCCCTCATCTACAGTTTACTGAAATAAACATCCAAGTCCTTTCCCAAACGCTTCAGATTAAGACAAATTACCAAACGACTGGCAGTCACTAAAGATTTGACAATCTTCAAGACATTGAGAAAAACAAACTCTTTTTTGCTTTTTAATCTGACACTGTCCTGAGGAGACAGAAGGCAAGCATGACAAAAACTGGTTTGTTTTGAAATAGGTCCTTCCCTTCCCACTTACAGAGAAGTAGAATCAAGGGCACAAAAGTTCTCTGTGGATATGGAAGGGCTACCTATTCTCAAACGGTATGAATACTCTCACTGCAACAACCACGGAATGCGCCCCCCACAATCACCCCCCCCACATCCCCACCCCCTATGGCACTTTGCCTCTAGTCAGCATCCCAATGGGTCCAACAGCGCTGCCATCTTCTCAAACCCAGCTCTGAGTAACAATACTTAGTCTTTTTCTCCCTAGTCTGATCATTCCCTTAAATTAAGGAAATAAAAAATGTGTCATATTTAAATAAGGTATCCCCTTTCCCCCAATACTGATCAGAAATGAATTTAGAAATCAACACTTTTTATTTTTGTGCAAAGGAGTATTTTAGAAGAGTGCAGTCATATGGAGAATATTCTCGGCTGAAAAGAATATGCCAGAGACAAAAGATGGGCCAGTGGGAAGGCTGATGGATTTTAGTATTGGAGTCTTCTCTAGCCCACCCTACATTCTGACGCAGCAGGCAGAGTCCTGACTCCATGCGAGCAAAGTTAGAAGCCACTGCTTTAGTCCAGGCTGGTATATTGTGCTGTCACTCACCTGTGCCATTGGCCAAGCCATTGTGGGTTGGGTTCTTGACGGGCTGGCGGTGCCGGTTGCTAGTACCAGGGCTTTGCTCACCAGTTGCTGGAGCTGTTCTGGCTGAGCCACCTGAATGTCTGTGTGTCCTGGAAATTCCAAAGTATAAAGCAGACAGATATAAGTCACTGTGAAAAAGAAAGAAGTATGTCCCATCTAAGTCATCATACCCCCTCTCTCAGTATTTATTGGAAATAAGACTTTTAATAGCCCTGGTAGTCTTTGACTCAACAGAATCTGGCTCCAAACAGAGAGACTCAGGTAAGCTCCTCTCTTGGTCATAGCCCAGAAGGCAACTTTGGGTAAACTTTTCCACTTGAAGTAAACAAATCCAGAGTGAATTGCCCCCACATCTGAAGTAACTGGCAAAATATCCTATGACCATCACATTATTTTTATTGGGCTCAAATGTAATAAATAAACACGAATCACTGGACAGGCTACAGATGACATAATTCTCCCATTAGGTAAAAAGTGCCCAAAACTTATCTAAATATATTTTCTCTATAGCTAGAAACATATAACCCTCGGGAAAAAGAAATCAAGGGGCACTAGACAACTCCAGCCCATGCATATGTTGACAGGTTTTATCTAGGAAAAGATGACTCAATGGTCCATTCCAAATAAATGAGGAACAAAGCATAAAGGGATCTATATCACCGAAGATGGTGGAATCCAGGAGCAGAGCGTCTGACAACTTCAGAGAACACAAGGCAATGGGCAGTCCATATTCTCCCAGTCCTGTTGTCCCGACTTTGTTCACTCAGTGAGTGTCTAAGCCTCCCCACCCTTCAGTCCAGGGGTTTTGTCAAAGGAGATTATTCTACTGACTAGTCATTATCTATTAATTTTCAAGTGAGAGTATTTCAATATTATCTAGTAAAGAAAAGACCACCCCTGTCTAGGCAAAGAAACAGAAGTCCATGTACCCCAAATCCCCCAGAACACACTCCCCCTTGGAGAGAAGTCCCACGCCATGTACACGGGCCGTGAGAATACGATCAGCAACAAAAGGAACAGCGTAGCTACAGTAGTGCGTACTATGCACTGGGCCAGAACATTACATAACAGGTATCCCTGGTGCGCTGTGCGCTTTATTTTATCTCATCTAACATGGAAACCCTAGAAGGAGTTTACAATTGTTACGCCGATTTTACAGGTAAGAAAGAAGATAAAGAAAGTAAGCAATGGAGCAAGACTCAAGTCCAGGCAGCCTAAGATCAAGAGCTCCTGTTCTTTGGTTGGAGACTGGGGGTGGGAAGCCTGGACTTGAACTGAATCCCTTCCAGGCTATTCGTTCACTGCTCACTGGGCCGATGGTGAGATGTAGACCCCAAAGGGAAAGGTCCCCTGCTGGGCTGGAAGGCTCCATATCCACAGAACACCTCTGCTGGTGAGACTCTCATCCAGTGTATTGGGACAAGTCCGCAACACAACAAACTTGGAGGTTTCTAGGGGTGTGACAAGTGTCCCCACCAACCACCTTCTCCAGCACAAGAAGTGGACTTTTTCCAACATGATGGGCATAAGCCAAAATATTATTAGTGATTATCTTTCACTGTTGTGACTATGAATTCTCTTGGTTTTTCCTTTTGTGCTTTTCTAGAGTTTTCTAGTTTTCTTCATTGAAATTATACACTTTTGCAGCACCTGGGTATCTCAGTGGGTTAGAGCCTCTGCCTTCGGCTCAGGTCATGATCTCAGGGTCCTGGGATCGAGCCCTGCATCGGGCTCTCTGCTCAACAGGGAGCCTGCTTCCCTTCCTCTCTCTCTGCCTGCCTTTCTGCCTACTTGTGATCTCTGTCTGGCAAATAAATAAATAAAATCTTAAAAAAAAAAAAAAAAAGAAAGAAATTATACACTTTTGAGTAAGGAAAAAACACAATTTTTTTTAAGGAGGAAAAAATTTTTTCTTGGATCAAAATGGAAGGAAGGAAGGAAGGAAAGAAGAAACCTAGCAAACCGTGCCGTTTTTCATAGCTAAAGACTGCATGGCCGTTAAAAATGGATAAAGAAGGCACAACTGAGCTATGGAAATAAAGATTTAATTTGGACTCTCTTTTTCCATCTTACTTTTCCCTGAGCTAATTTCATAAATTAAAAGCTGTCAACCACACCTCAGTCAAAAAAAATATTTCAAAGTCCCCACTTCATGGGAAGAAATGTTAGTATTGAGCATCTTCCCACAACTCCTCATTGAAAGTAGAATGAGAACAGATTCGTTCCAAAGGGAAAGAGTCTTCAGCCACTGGTGAATGCATGTGTATGTGTTGAGTGCAGAGAGCTTGACAGAGATAAAATTGGTTAATAAAAGGTTTATTCTGGCCAAGAATACCCTTAAAAGGAAAAAAAAAAAATAAAAAAAAGCCTCTTTGATTTGGTATGCACAGACCACACTAGAGGGCTGTACCACTCAAGAAGCAGCAGGCTGTGTGGGCAGCACAGGAAAGGCGACATCAGTCCCGTCACACGCACAGGCTCCGAGGAGCCCGTGATCACTTCCAGTCTGCAGCTGCTTGTCCCTCTGCAGAGCAGCTGGACATGACAACAGGGTGGGCCCCATTAAGTCTCCTGGCTCCTCCCTCCCTTCCCCGAAAGGGCATGTGGTCAGAGTTGAGAGCGAACACTCTCAGAAATGTTTCACCACTAATGACAGCAGCTCACCCTGAATGATGGGCTGCAGCAGGGCTGGGATTAGCCTGTAACCAGGGGCAGCTGGGACCACTTGGCAGGAATTGCTGCCTCCCTGGCCGCAGCCCACTGCCACCTCCACCCTCCCCCCAACATACACACACACACACACACACACACACACACACACACACACACACTCCCCAGATTCTTCCCTTGCCCTCAGTCTGGAGTTTCCACTTTTTTTTTTCACCTTGAATTACCTTTAACATAAGACTCTCTGAAGGAAGAAAGGCCTCAGCAGTTGAGGAAAATCTCTTCAGCAGTTTCTTCTCTTGGAGAACTCGCTCAGCCCTTACAAGATGGGATTGTGTCGTGATTAAAAGCTGGCTCAAATGCTGAAACCACACACCATAAGCCAAAATAGTATCAGGACAAAAGTGAGATGATGGGGTGGAGATGAGCTGGGCTCCACCACAGGCAGCCTGGCTTCGGCTCTGCCAGTGACTTCAACTTTGGCCTGATCCCGCCACCATTTTGAGGATGGAGAAGTCAGCAGGGGTGGGAGGCAGCAGAGGGCGGGGGAGAGGGTGGTATGCAACCCCCGAGACAGAAGATAGAACAGCAAAACTCCACAACTGGTTTCAAGTTACCTAGTTACAGATTCAGTTCTCGCTCTCTCTTTTTTTTTAAAGATTTTATTTATTTATTTGAGAGAGAGAGAATGAGAGAGAGTTAGCATGAAGAGAGGGGGAAGGTCAAAGGAAGAAGCAGACCCCCTGCTGAGCAGGGATCCTGATGTGGGACTCGATCCTGGCTCTCTAGGATCATGACCTGAGCCTAAGGCAGTTGCTCAACCAACCGAGCCATCCAGGCACTCAGATTCAGCTCTCTCAACAGCATGCCCTCCTCCGAATGCTGGTGTATCCTTACCTAAGTTCCTCTCTCAGGACCTGAGGCCTCCCTAAAAAATCCAGTCAAGGCCAGGGCCCTGGAATTCTCTCTCCACATTCCCAGAAGCAGATCTGCTACACGTGAAGTCCCCCCGATGAGGCTCTGGGCTGTCCCTTGGCATTCAAGCTTTGTCATTCACAGAGCTGGCCTCAGTCCTCAGCTATACCGAGAGCCACAGCCCTGGTTGCTTTGGGACATCCTGCATGAAAGTGGCTTCATGAAAGCCACTGAATAGCATTCAATTATTTTCTGAGCACTAAGCCCTGTTTTAGGGCTAATAACAAAACAGAAAGGGTCCCTGGTGCTCCAGGTTGGTGAACACATGGAGATGTGGGTAGAGCAGTGTGAGAGGGCATGGAAGCTCCCCACCTTTCCTCATACCTCGCCCTATGTGTGTCTTCCATCTGGTTGTTGATTCATATTCTTGATCATATCCTTTGGCAAACTGGTAAACATTTAAAGACAAAAACAGAAAGAGTCCCTGATCTAAAAAAGTTTACATCTTAGTGGAAATGCACTGATCTGTAATTTTGCATCACACTCTACAATACTGACATGTGAGAGCCACTGGGCCAGTGAGTGAGACTGGCTGACAACTTGGCAGTGTCACTCCAGAACAACTTTGTTGACCATCATCACATATACAATAATTTTTTTAAGATTTTATTTATTTATTTGACACAGAGGGAGAACAAGCACAAGCAAAGGGAGCAGCAGGCAGAGGGAGAGGGAGAAGCAGGCCCCCCACTGAGCAGGGAGCCCGATGTGCGACTCAATCCCAGGACTCTGGGTTCTTAACCTGAGCTGAAGGCAAGCACTTAACTGGCTGAGCCACCCAGGAGCCCCACATATGCAATAATTTATGTGAAGTAGTTGAACAAAACTTTGTTTCTTTGGTTTAAAAAGAGGCCTGCCCTAACACTGGAAACATAAGTAAAAAGAAGAGGAACAATCCAAAAAAGTAATGGCTCACAAGTCAGAACATAAAACCTTTTGCAAAATTAACAGTGGAATTCAAAATTTGGTGGTGGCTTAGAATTTGAGATCAGTCTATCATATCCTTCATGGGGAAATTGATTTTTTTTTTAAAGATTTTATTTATTTGACAGAGATCACAAGTAGGCAGAGAGGCAGGCAGACAGAGGAGGAAGCAGGCCCCCTGCTAAGCAGAGAGCCCAATGCAGGGCTCGATCCCAGAACCCTGGGATCATAACCTGAGCCAAAGGCAGAGGCTTTAACTCACTGAGCCTCCTAGGTGCCCCGGGAAATTGATTTTTAAACATAGTTGGTAGCTTCATCAAAATTCAAAATTCCTGCTCTTCCAAAGACATTGTCAAGAAAACAAAAAGACAATCCAGAGACTGGGAAAAAATATTTGAAACTATTTATATGATAAAGGACTTAAATCCAGAATATATAAGGAACTCTTAAAACTCAATAACAAACCAATATAAAAAATTATCAAAAGATTTTAACAAACATTTCACCAGAGACAATCTAGAAA